CTTCGTGAATACCTTTGCTACATTTGCTAGTTAATCCTGCCCATCTGGAACCTAATTTGTCATTAGAACATTTATTAAATCACTTTGTTAAAGTATTTTTGGTTAAATAGAAAGTGTCCTACAAAAGGCTAAAGAGAAGACTTTGTATATTAATCTGCTCCTGAGATGAACCGCAATTCTGTTTGCTAAATAACATCCATTCAGCCTGAGAATCAACAGTCCTTCCCTTTGCTGTAATTCTTTCTTAGACGAACATGCTGCAGAATTGATCTGGATGAACAGTTCCAAGTTTTGTGACCTCTTCTAGGTTAACATCCAAAAACTGTTTGTTTATTTATTTATTTATTTTGTATACAATATTCTGTCTGCATGTATGCCTGCAGGCCAGAAGAGGGCACCAGACCTTATTACAGGTGGTTGTGAGCCACCATGTGGTTGCTGGGAATTGAACTCAGGACCTTTGGAAGAGCAGGCAATGCTCTTAACCACTGAGCCATCTCTCCAGTCCCAAAAACTGTTTTTAAAAGTGTATATTTTGCCAATTCTTTAAGAATTACAATGGTATATTTTTGTAATATTAATTTATTTTCCCCAAACTCTCCCTGATCCACTCTGTCCTTCTTTTCCTGCCCCTTTAATTTTGTGTCTTTTTAATTTTTGAGATGGGATCATCTTGAAACAGATGTCCTGATCCCCTGGCTTTTACTGTCCTTTTTCTGTCTCTTTCACTATGGTCCCTGAGCCTTAGATGCAGGAGCTGGGTTGTAGATACATCTGCTGGGGACGACACCCACGGTCAACTGTTCCCTCCATTTTGAACAGTTGTGGTTTTCTGTGCTTGTCTCCATCTATTGAAAAAAGAAGCTTCTTTAATGAAGGGTGAAGCTACACTTACCTGTGGGTATAGCATAGGTATTTAGAATGCAGTTAGAAACTATGCTGCTGTGAGAAAGAGGCAGTACTAGGTTTTTTCCTATGTCCCATGATCTCACCTAGTCGGTTATTGTTACAGTTCCAGACATGTATTCTCTCTTGTTTGAGGGGTCCCTGAATACAATTAGATAGAGGTTGGTTACCCCAGAATGTCAGTACCACTATTGCACCTCTCAGAATATCTTTCCACATTGACCATTGTGGTTCATAGGCTTTACATCCGGGTAGGATGATTAGTTGTTTTTCTACCCTGGGAGCTTACAAAGCTGCTTCTGAAACATTTCTGCCCTCATGAAGCTCACAATCCAGTAAAGTGGACTTTCTTACCTTTTGTCCTAGGTTGTACTTTGAGGATGCACAGGTGCCTGTGCTTCAGTGGGTTAAGCCTGGCCATAGGGATCTATGGTAGACATGGTGGATGACGACAGGGCATTGTGCTCTTTTACGGCACCCCACTCTTAAAATGACACATATGGAATATATCAGGGCTATGGAGCCCCTACTACCAATGAAAACGACATCACTTTAACCAGAGGTTTTCAGTATCAGCACACTGACATTGTAGATCAGATGCTTAGGTTACTGTTGGAGGCTGTCCTGTGCATTGTTGGTGGCATACCTCAACCAGCAGGATTCCAATGGAATCTGCTTCAAGGTTGTGACTAAGGAAAATTGTCTCTAGATTGCCAAATGTCACCTGGTAAGCAAAATCACTCCTGGCTGAAAGCAACTGAGAATTTTTTTTTGCTAAACTGTGTCTTCAAAGGGTTATAACAATGCTTTTCTGATGATCATGTGACAGCCATGCAGGAAAAACCTTTAAACATAAAACATGTTAATTGGGCCAGAGGGTTAATGCCAGAAGAAACAGAAAATCATTTTTAGAGAGAAATTTATTAGCTTCAAGATACTCTTAGTTTTATAACATACTCTGGTAGAACCTACAGAATCCTCAGGTCCTGGTATTTCAAGGAGACTTGGATACATACCCCTCTTTAGTGGAATTTAAACATTTTGCATTTCTGAGTTTCTTCATTTTCTCTCTGTGGCTGTGATAAATCCCATGACCTAAAGCAGTACAGGGAGGAAAGGGTTTATTTGACTTAAATATTTCAGGTCAGAATCCACTGAGGAAGACCAAGGCAGGAACCGCAGACAGACACCTGGATGCAGGAACTGAAGCAGAAGCCACAAGGATATCCTGTTTACTGGCTTGCACTTTGTGACTTGCTTGGTCTGTTTTCTTATATTATCTAGGACCACCAGCCTAGGGGTGGCATCACCCATAGTAGGTTCGCAGCCTCCCCTTCCCCCACCAAACATCAATCCCCAAAGTGCACACAGATGTGCTTACAAGTGATCTAATGGAGGCATTTTTCTCAATTGAAGTTCTTCCCAGATGACTCTAGTTTGGGTTAAGTTGACAAAAAACTAACCAGGACATGAAACATCCTTCAAATCCTGAATATTTTTATTTTTTGTTTATGTAATAAGGTGGGTATTAAAGGAATGAAAAGAAATCTCTTGGGGATTCTGGAGAGATATTGGAGTGAAATGATAGCAGTGGTGGTCCAGCTGGCTTTTCAGTGGTCTGTCTAAGCCCAGTGCCAGCAACTCTTCCCAATGCAGAGTGTTGGCCAAGATCCTGACGCACGCACGCAAGCACACGCACCCTTTTAATTTCTTCTTTGGCTACGTTGGTGGATTTCCTCATTTTAAAAACCCATGCGGGGCTGGAAAGGTATCGTCGTTGGTATGAGTACATGCTGTGCAAGCACAAGGACTTGAGTTCAACCCCCAGAATCCACGTGAAGAGACTGACTGTGGTGGCACACGCTTGTAATCTCAGGGTCGGGGAGGGAGCTACAGGCAGACCTCTAGGGCTTGCTAGGCAGCCAACTCAGAATAATTGGTGAGCTCCACACCAACACACCAACAAAAGACCCTTTTCCAAAAGAACAGATGAATGGCAACCGAGATTGACCTCTGGCCTCCACAGACACATAAACACAGGTTACCTACACAGACACACACACACACACACACACACACACACACACACGCACACACACAGAGACACACACACACATACACGCTAGTTATGAGTGTTGTAAAATATTATATAAATATGGCCTTTGGTAAGGAAATCAATGATAACTGTTAAGATTAATGCATTCAATGTGCTTTATAAATGATCTCAGAACACTTGCCAGTTTGACGAGTAACCTCTCACTAGTGGTGCTGCCAGGCATATTGTAGAGGAAGTAGCAATAGGGAAGTTTTCTTCTTTTTTAACTTTTCTTAATTCTTTGCTTGAAAGAAAAGTTTTTAATGGTACGAGAAAAGATATTCAAAATATATAAGGTGGTTTTTGAGGGTTCTACCAGGAAGAATCTTCAGTATTTATGCCAGTGTTGTGAGTTTTAGCTAAGAACCTCATGTTTCATAGGCTTTGCTTTGTGCTACCAGTTTATAAAAATTACATAATGCCTATTGTAGGATAGAGACAAAATTTAAGTCAATAGAAATCTAGGCATGCCAACACGTGTTTATGTGTATATACTAACCTAGCACTCAGAATTTCACTAACCTAGTTTAAAATTAAGCAAAATAAAATCATTTCCCCCTCTTTACTATTGCTAATATTTTAAAGAGAGAGAAGAAGAATTTTTACCACCTTTCTCAACAATCCAAGTCTATGCAAGAGCGCGTGTCCATAGCTGTCTGTGCAGGGGACATTCCTGCATCCCACCGTAGCCCCTGAGGATGGAACTGTCCCAACAGCTGTGCTTCAGGTATCCATTTTCCAGGACTGACTGTATCTGCAAATTGTACAAGGGTTTGGAAAACTGTGTGCTGGCTCTATAGCATCACCCTCACAGTTACATTGTAAAGGGAATTTGAAACTTCCATTTGTTTCTCTGTAGCAGCAACCCATATTTTTCCAGAGCAATGCTAATCAAGGCACAGAACCTTTGAACAGGCTAGAATGACTTACTTGCAGGATTGCAAGTTTGGGAGTTAGAGAGGAGGCCATTTGTAGAAGCAGAAGAAGTCTAAAACCTTCGGCACAATATAAACACAAAAGAGTGAGCAGTGAATCCAAGAAAGGGTCAGACTTGGTAAATAGATGGACAGCAGTTTCAACAAGCAGGCAATAATTAACAGTGACATGTTTGCAACTTTATATTCCTAGCTTTAGAATAGCAATGAAATGGTCGCTGTCAGAAACAACTCATGTGAGTTCTGCTCGTCTCTCCTTGTCTTGAGCCCATCACTTGGTCTCATGCTAACAGGGAAACCTGGAAGTGCATGCACCTCTAAGGGGGACGTAAGAGATACTTACCTGAAGGTAGCATTGACTCGCTGGTCAAAATGTACACGCCAGGTGGCTTCCCAGCAGGCTGTGATTCAGGAGCCCCTTGGGGTCTGCATTGACCTTCTCAGCTAAATCTGTTGCAGGGAAAGGGTAATCCTGGACACCAATTTAAAAACATACAAGTACAATATCTCAGCACAGCCATCAAGAGGAAGAGAGCAAGTGTAAAATAGGTCAAATCATAGTCACAGAGGCTAAAGGTACCTGTGTACAGTGGCCTGGAGGGCTTGAGGAGTTTTCAACTCTCAGAAAGTAGAACTGTATCTGAGGTAGAGTAGACCTTCCTGGGGGCCAAGCTGATTAAGACATTGGAGTATGAAGAGGGACGTGGAGCCAACTCAAGGCAATGCCCTCTTCCTATGCAGTCTAAAGCATATTTATATATTAACAGAAATATATGTCATGTGTTAATATTTTTATTGTTTAATTGCGTTTTCTCTTTCCTTTGTTCCCCTCCTACCCCCTTCCCTTTCTTTCTACTCCTCTACCACCTGCTCCTCCATTTATTCTCAATTTTTCTCTTTCCTTTTTCACTCTCTCCTCTCCTTCCAATCCTCCCTTTCTCAACACTCCCCCTTCTTTCCATCCTTCTTTGTTCCTTTCTTCCTCCTCTCCCAATCTATTATTATCTTTCCCCTCTCGCTCTCATTGTTCCTTGCCCACGGCCCGCCCTTCATTGTCTCTCCAGGTATTATGCCATCTGTTGCCAACCCTTGGTTTACAGAAGCAAGATGACCCCTGTCCGCATTGCACTGATGTTGGCAGGCTGCTGGGCCATTCCCATGTTTATATCTTTTCTCCCCATAATGCAAGGCTGGAACAACATCGGCATAGTTGATGTGGTGAGTATCTACACAGAAGCCATGGGATTATTAGTCAATCAACTTTGCTGGGCATGATAGATAAGCAAACAATTTTAAGCTGGATAGCTATTTTAATAGCTATTCCAACAGTGGTCTGAGGCACATTTCTAAATGTCTACTGACAGAATCTCACTTTGGCCAAATGTTAGTCAGGGTCCTCTGGATTATCTTCCCACTGGACCGTGTGTTTTTAAACTTTATTTATTTATTCTTTGGAAATCTCATGCATGAGCACAATGTATTTAGATCACAGGAACCCCTAGGCACCAAAGTTTGGATTTCCATGGCTATTTTAATTTCTTTGCTGTGATATGATAAAATACCTCCAAAGACTTGACGTCCTTGTCATATAGATCTTTTGCTTGCTTGGTGAAAGTTGAAATAAATCTTGGTTAGAATTACAATAAGATATATTATTTGAGATTTTTGTAAAAGGTGTTATTTTCTTATTTCCTTCTCAGTCCTTTTATCATTTTCATATAGGAAGACTACTGATTTTTTTTTTTTAGTTTATCTGGTATCCAACTACTTGACTAAGGGTATTTACCAGCTATAGGAGTTCCTTGGTAGAGTTTTTTGGGGTCACTTATGTACACTATCATATCATCTGTGAATAAAATACTCCAAAAGAAGCAACTTAAGGAAGAAATGGCTTATTTTAGCCCACAGTTTAAGCTACCATCATGGCAGAGAAGCTAAGGCAGCAGGAACTCGAAGCAGCAAATCCCACAATGTCTATGGTCAAAAAAGAGCAATTAATGCATACTACAGCTCAGTCCTCCCTGCTGGCTTCCACATTCCAGAACTTCTGACCACAACTAGAATGGATCTCCCTACATCAGTTTAAGTACTAAACATACCCCCCCCCAAATATACCCAGAGGCCTTTCTTGCTGGTGATTCCAGGTCCTGTCGGGTTAACAGCTAATTCTGAGCAGCACATTGCCCAACTGTGCATTGCTCAGTGTCAGCAAGCATGCTGATAAGTTGGTTTAACTGGCACCCCCACCCTCAGCAAAGGATCGGGCTCATTCTCCTTCACCTTCCCCAGGCTGTGTCTGATTGCCCTGGCTTGTCTTCTGCAAGAATCCTGCTAAGTTGGCTCAGCTTGAATCCCACTTGCTCCTCTCATTTCCTCTTCCTAATTTCCTGTCTACTGAGCCTCAATCAACCAACTCCTTGGCTATAAGTCCCCGCTTTTTTGTTGTTGTGTTTAGAGTTGGAGTTAATCTCTTTCTGCAAAACTCACAGTAGCTTCTTGTATTTATGAAAATAATGTAGAGTAAAGGCTGCTTTAACAAGTGTTTCATATCATTTTTTTTTACCATTACTGGATATTGAAAAGTACAATAAGCACTTTACATGTAACCCCCAGAGAATCCCTTTTTGGAAAAGTTTAAATCTATCCACTTTAATGATGGGCGGATTAAGTTGCATTTCTCATGTCACATAGTTTTCCTGTAGGTGAACAAGGCCTCACTATTTAATAATCAGTTCCTGGGACTTGGGATATAGCATATGTCCTGAGAAGTGTTCATCCTCTTTCCCCACAGCCTGGGGAAAGACATGCCAGGTAAATGCGGTCTGCCAGGGAATAAAAAGAGTCCTGGGTCAGAAGTCAGAGCGCTAACCTGTAAACCCAGCTCCATTAATGTCCAACTTCCTAAGGATTGTATTAAGAAGGGAAGCTGGTACTGAGTGAAAATGGTGTCTAATATGAGAGTTAAGGGCACATGTGTTACATATGCCATGCACTGCCCAAACCCTGGGTATTGGTTTTCCAGAGAAATAGAAACAATAGAATTTTTGTATATGTATATATATATATATATATGTATGAATGTATATATGTATGTATATATCATCTATCTATCTATCATATATCTATCATCTATATATCTTTTCCTTGTCATGTATCTGTCCATCTATATATTTATATACTTTTATTTAAAAAAGTAACAGACATATAAATAGATAAACTGTAACTGTTCCACATGGTTGTGGAAGTTGACAAGTCTCAGCACACTAGAGACTCAGGAGAGCCAATATTTCAGTTCAGGGCCAAAGATAGGGAAAAACTGATAGCCCTTAATTAAGACAATGATAGAGCAATCAGCTTTCTTGTTCTGTTCAAGCCTTTAATAGGTTGGCTTCAGTGTTAAATTAGAAGAGAAAACTGATGTATACAGTCTATCAGTTCAGAGCTTCATCTCAACCAAAAATATTGTCATAGTCAGAATAGGGTTTTACCAAACTTCTGGGTCCCCAATGGCTTAGTTAAGTTGACATATAGTATTAACCATCTCACTTTAAAATCATCTTTAAGAGTTCTACTCTGGCATATAAGAATTATAATGATGATTAAAACTGACAGTCTGGATCCATTGGCAGGGCTATGGAAAGTGACGTGCAGTCACTTAAAGTCAGTCCTCCGAGGACGTGGGGAAGAGAATAGAAAGAATGGAAGACTGAGAATGGGAGACTGAGAATGGGTGCTGGCCCAGAAGAACCAGAAAAGGGAGAATGCCTCTTTTCTACACAGAAGGATTTTAACTCCCTCTTTGAATAGGAAACTGTATTCAAACAAATCCCATGGCCCGACTTACATTTCAGAACAAGTGCTTGAGCCCCTGAAAACGTACTAGAGGCAGGGAGAAGAGAGGTAGGGACTCCATCCTGGAGAACCTGCGGATAATTTCTTCAACCCCACACCTTTTCTTTCGGATGTTAGGTTTTGTTTTGTTGTTTGTGTTTTCTCTTGGAGGGAAAATGAAATACCAGCTTCCAAATGCTAGTATTCAAATACCAGTAATAATAATGGCCAACAAATGTTTTGTACTTACTGTGTCTCAAGCCCCACGTTAATCACCATTCCAGTGAGCCTCATTAAGGCTTGATTCTTGGCTCAGTCGAAACACAGAAGTTGGAGAGGTGGTCTTGGGACAGATAATGTTTTGTTTGTTTGTTTGTTTTTACTTTGAACAATAGTGGGTTTTTTTTTTAACTTTGAAATTGGAGGATTCAGAAGAATCATCATAGCTAGCCTGCAGAAAATAGTCCTAGGGCTGTAGGAAACTGGGAAAACGCTGCGGAGAGACTGCAGTAGCCCTGCTGAGTGATGAGGGTAACAAGTAGGGTGCCAGTCACCTGAAGTGGTGAGATGGTTGGGGAGTTTAGGTGTTCTCTCATTCTGTGTTGACTGGGCACCTGCTTTTCTAGGTGCTGGGGCTGCATCACTGAGCAGAGCCAGTACTGGTCCAAATTCTCATAACTTTATGTCCAGCCAGGGAGATGCAAACAGCAAGTGGTACACTGAACATGAGCAGAGATCTAGCGTGTTAGGCGATAATGACTATATTTTACTTCAGTTTGGGGCTGAAGAGATGGCTCAGAAATAAGAATGTGTACGGCAACCACACCACTCACAACTGCCTGTAACTCCAGTTCCAGGGAATCCAACACCCCTGGCCTCCCTGGCAACCTGTTCACACGTGCACATACCCACATGTGGGTGCATGCACCCACACACACAATTTTCAAATATTAAATCTTTATAAGGTGGGTTGCTAGCAGATTGAAAGTCTAAATAGGGAGTTCGAGTGGGCTCTATTGAGAAGGTGACATTTGAATAAAAACTTTAGGGAGATGGGGGAATTATACTTGTAGGTATCTTTGAGAAGCATGCTGTGGGCATAAAATAGCTGGTACAAAGGTCCAGAGGCAGGATGAGCCTGTCATAGGCCGATACAAAGTTAATGTGGAGGTAAGAAGCAGGAGAGGAGTTTAAGAGATGATAAAATACAATAAATAGGAAAATAATGTGTTGTTCTGTGGGACATTTAAGACATCAGATTCAACTTTGAGAGATACGAATTGCTGTAGGGTCTGAGCGTGTTATTAATATGATTTATAGTATTTTGAAGGAATCCTAATTTTTACTATTAAAAAGTTTGCTAAAGTAATGTCAGGGTAAGAGATAACGGTACTGTACTTTCAGTGGGAGCGATGGAGATTGTGATTCAGAATATAGGTAGGTTTTTAATATAAGGAGGATTGTCCGTATAGTTGGAAGAGAAATGAGGAAAACCTTAGTTTAATACAACCAAGATTTTGGTCGGAACAACTGGAAAAATGGAGAGAATGACTATTGATTTCAGCTGGAAATTCCAGATTGGAAATACTGTAGGATGGGTTCTCTGGGATACAGAAAGCATGACATAAGTGTTAAATATCTGTCAAAAAATAGTGATATTTTAGTGCAACGGTAAAACAATCAGCTTACTATCAAATCATGATATTTATGAGAATTCTCTATGAGAAACAAACAGCATGTTTGTAGCATTCCCAGAGCTAGATGCTGTTTAAACCCATACAAGGAGATGGAATCACCTGGGGAGTGAAGATATGTAAGAGAAGATGTCTAAGAACTGAAAAAAGCCACTAATGGAGGGTTGGAAGGCACAACTAAGAAGGAAGCATAAAGAGGGAAAATTCTAGAAAACCAATTTAAAAACCTATCAAAGTGAGACTGGAGAATGCTGTTTCTGGGTGTGATATCAACTGTCCTAGCCATAAGGATGAGTAAAATGCATTATATTCAAAAAAACGGTATCAGGAATTGTATGTAGTTCATGCCTATAGCCATAGCTCTTAAGAAGCAGATGCAGGAGAATTTATGGTCCAAGCCAACTTAAACTACGCAGTAAAAATCTGGCGCAAGCCTAATCCAGATCAAATCCCAGCTTGGAGTGAGAAGTTGGACATACAATCCCACCCCTAGCCTTGAAGGCATTGGTCACTGTTAGATGCTGGGAAAGGAAAGATCAGAGTATCTTGGGGTGTACCTCCTGGCAAGCTGATCATGCTCCAGTGGAAGACCATACATCCAAGAATATCTTATGCTGCACAAATTGGTCTGGAAGGCTTCTTTGAATGGGAAGAGGAGTGGATAGAGAAGGGGGTGGATGTGGGAAGAGCATG